CAATGCGAGCCATTGATCGCGATCAAGTTCTCGGCAAAAACCCAGTGGAATTAATATATGTGGACCTTTCGCTGTCAAGTCCTTACTTGTTTAGTATACAGTGCTGGACTACAATTGTTTTATACAGTCGATTCAGCGACTCTCTCAGGTCGTAGGTTCGAACCCCGGCTGTGCACCAATAGACTGTCTGTGTGCATTTAACACTAGCTCGTACGGCGAAGGAACACATAGTGAGGAAACCGGCATGCCTTAGACACAAAAAATCCGACGAAAAGCCCTTTTAAGAAAAACCAAATGATCACGAAAAAGATACCGAAATCTGAGGCCCAAAGCTGAAAGGTTGTAGGGCTATTGTTTTTTTAAATGCGTGCTAAAAATAACCATAAAAAAATTTGTTAACCTGCTTTATGTCTCATTTTTATCAGCAAAGTTGAATAAACACATTAATAACATTCTAAATCATTCAAAAGAAACTAATTTGCTGTTGAATTTTTTGAACATCGCACCATAATTTCCTTTCATGGACACATAATGGTTCATTAAACGCTTAATAAGCACCTATAACCTCTGAACAATATGATAAATGTGCGAGAAACTTAATTAGCTAAATCCATTTAATTCAATAGGCAATTGAATCGTTAATGTTATGGTAGGAACAAATGTATGAAAAGTATGTGCAAAGAAAATCGCTTTCATTTACATAAAATTACGCATCTAATAATTATGTTACACTATCAATGTTTTCTCACACGTAAATAGACGGAAGAGTGTCGACATTGCGATTTGCATAATCATCGTCATCTCGCTTTTAATTCCCACTGCGATATTTTAGGGCATATTTGAAAATAAAAAAAAAAGATTCGACAAATTCTTAAGTTATGTGTACACTGACCTCTATCGAATTTGTGCATTCAAAGCCCATATAATATCCTGTGTCATCCACCCCGAGGCCCTTACTTATGAACACAGGATGAAACGGCCAATAAATTATTTAGCAACTAACCGTGCTCTGTAGATACGTCGCATTGAAACTCCGTAGCTTTAAATTTCACACTTTATTACTTAGCATGTGACCCAAATATGCTTCACGTCTATTCGGCGTGCTATGAATGTGGAATGTCATTTAGTCGCGAGCGCCGCTATTTTACACAGCAATGCTTATCTCTAACTTCGGTACAACTATTGTAAGATATGTTCTTTACTTTTGCATTCTAAATAACTGTCGCTGCAAATGATCTGTGAATGTGTAGACAATGAGTACCCACTCGCATCTAACGATAAGTTTTTGTAGTTCAAGTACAAGTTTATTGAGCCTGAGGTTTCTGAGAAATGCGTGCCGGTTCAAGAACAACGATCTTTTTAATTGTTCTAAAGTATAAATTCAATTAAAGCTTCAGTACTGGGAAAACGTATATCAGATTTTAATTAATGAATACGAAGGTGTTAGAAGTAGATGCATCACGAAATAAGGATTTAATAGTCTCGGCGTTATAGGACATAGTGGCTTAATGAAGTTTGTGTTCATTGTCGAAAACAGTTAGTGATAACATTCCGTTGGGTCGTGACGATCGGCTACAGTAGCGTGTGTCGCAGTAACGAGTGGCCAGATTTTACACAGATGCAATGCAAATTGACTAGCGATTTGCGCGCGCATAAATAAGCCTCCACAAATACAGCACTAACCGCCAATCGTCAATTAACGTCAGTATCGCGTGAGATAGAGGAAGTGTTTATTCATAGCCAACTGATTTCGCTGGCGAGATACACGAAATATAACAGCAATTTTTGTTCACGAATACCACCCAGGCATTTCCTTCCCGCCCTAAGGGTATTCATCGTCAGTATAACTAACTAGAAAGTGAATTATAACCTACGAATAATTGTCTAGAGCGGTTTGTACGCGCGAACAAGATTATAGGGTGGTTTTCTAAAAGGACAAATTACAAACGAACTTAGTATTTTTTTAGCTTCAGTAATAAAATGTAATAAGTTTGTTTATAAAATATTACATCAAATGAGATAATAGTTGTTGATAATTAAACGGCGAATTAGCAATTACAAATCGGAATTTGAATGCCAGTGAAGTGGAAAGCTGAACGCAGAGTTATATAATTACTTGATATTCCATGAAAAACTATGCAGTGATAGTGCGTTTATTTAATCTCGTGTTTTTGAAATATTGGGAATAATTTTGATTTATTAATTATTCATCCTCCCGATTTAATTGTGCTTACGGTACTCATCATCTATATGCGTAATTATGAAGTTTATATCAAAGACGGTGAACGATGGCAACAAAGTGCAATTACCTGCGCGGTCTATAACAAGTGCTGGTATCCATAATGAGATTGCTCTAGGTTCCGATATCCTTTAATACAGCTTAAATTGATTAGACTTAATAGACGTGGCAATTTATACTCAAAGCTTGGAATAAAAAACAATATTACTTAAAGGGGCGATCGTGAAATCCCTAGTGGGACATGAGAATAAACATTAATATTTATAATTAATAAATATTTTACTAAAAGTATCACGTAAATATTGTCTCACATTTACTATGACTTTTTGACTTTAAAAACAAAAGAACGATACCTTTAAAAAATAGTTATATAGAAAGAAAAAGTTGCTGTGTACTTAATTACTTTTGTGGTCCTTTGATTCTAAAATTTAAACAAACACAAATGCTGCTGTCAATGGATTCACACGTTATGTTGGATTAATCTTATCATGCGCATGCGTCGGTGGGCGTTCTTATCCTGTCGCCTTACACCTCAACTCTGGTTATACAGCTACATATGCTATATATCCTAACGTATTATAACATATATCAGTCATTAACAGAATTTTGAATAAAGAACATGAGCTTCATATTTAAAAATTATATCTTCAAAGACTTTATTTCTGAATCAATATAGTCAAATCGTCCCTTAAAGTATATGTCAAAATTTACTAACTAATTTAAATATACGGACGATGCGACTTACCCGTTTACTGACTACATTAAAGAAATGGATACTAAAAACTAAAACTAAAATTTTCAGCTACCGATATGTATTCATTTCTTTAAATATTTACTAAACGATTAAATCTTAATCAACGAGTCTGAGCAGGTTAGCTTTGTCATATAAATAATCAGAACGAACATTCATAAGAAAAGTTAGCTTTCCCGTTCAACACAAGTTACGGAAGCGCAAATAATTTTCACTCCTGTCAATTATATAAACCGATAAGCTTTCCCATTGTTTTTCCTCACAATGTTAAAGGACGACTTCGATACCCTAACAATGATAGTATTACATCTATTTCTACACTATCAAGATGTTTAGAAAAATATCTGTGATCATGTTTTCTTTTGAATCTACACTATCAACCTAATGCATAGTGCATCAATCAATACTAGAGTAAAACAGGCGTCGTGATCGCGCACTGCGTACATTTCTCATCAATAATGGCGCATCCAATAGATGTAATTACAATAAATATCGCTCACGTGCGTAGGAATAGCTAACCTGACGTGTCGACGCTACTATCCTTTTGCTAATTATGCAACACGTTGCCTGAAGCAATTTTGCACAAGGCATTGACTGCTACATTGTCAGACCTAATGGCTTAGAGGAAAAATTCCAACTAAGGCCTCTCCCCTTGCATAGTTAATTGTAAGAATAAATAAAATCCTACGCACTGAATTAAGGTTCATCTCCATATTTTTACATACAGACTAATTAAATATTCCGTTTCTTGTTATCAATTACATCATCCGTAGAAACACAGTTGCATTACCGATGTATTTGACCTGAGAGCCACAAAGGTCATTGACCGCTCCGAGATGCACCATAAATGACAAACTGTTTGCAAAAAGGAGCAAATATTAAAAAAGGAGAACATAAGAAAGCACGAGAATAATAATAGTCGTGTTGGCTCTGTTATTACAGTAATGTCAGGTTGCTTCGTCCTGATTCCCGGACGTAGCGCGGCAACGCGGGGGAAACTAAAAAGCGTAGAATGCTGCAAAAATGTCTACATCGCGACGGCTCTATTAGGTTTTCTACTACACTTTTTGCGAAGCTGTCGATCAACACGATCGCGGGACGAAAAAAAGTTCCACTCGATTATTTCGAAATGAAATAAAAGTTGGCATAGAGATGATGAAGCGCCTTTTAAATTGAAAATTAACAAAAAGCACTATTGTTTGCTAAGGTAACCTCGTTTGAATCTTTTTAGCATAGTGTTTCGATTTCTAATTCAGTTTAAAGACTATGATTTATGCAGTGTTATTGTCGAGAGTCGAGGTTTTAACAAAGCAATGTTGTTTTAATTACTTTTTTATTAAGTAAAAGCGATTTAGAAAGGAAGAGTGATGTCGCATGATGCGCAGTCACAACGGAGAAAGCACCTGACATATCGCGAAAGGGAACGACTATTAAGTGCAATGACATTGCCCGAACTAGCTTCAATAGCGAGATTAGTCCCCAGAAGTACTATCCTCATATCGAAGTACAAGTTTTTCTCTACGATAGTATGGAATCGTAGAACAAGTTCTTGAATAAAGTACTTCCTGAATGCGTTTATTTAAATAGTCGTTCTTTTAACCATGAGCAAATGCATTTTGTATTTGCTCTCTACTCGGCGCTCGCGGCAGAGTCGGATTTCCCGCGATTAATACCGCTTTTATTTCACAAAACTGTTTGTCTGATATAAATGTAACGGTATTGTACGGATACGAGGTTTTGCATGGTGCACCCATTAAGTAAACCGCTGCCGGTGGAAGTTATTAAAATACCTTTAAGATCAGTACCGTTTTCGACGGAGGCGATAAAGAGAAGAGACCGAGTCGTGAGCGTGCCTCGAGCAATAATCCTTTTCGGATGGAATCGAGCTCCCGAGGAAGTACCGCAAACAAAATGGATTGAAGTGTTTCGTGAGCTAGTATTGATAAATGCAACTTTATCGGACACGAATAGCGTAAGCTCGCTACAGAGGATATTTCACTGATGCATAATTTAAGGCACACTTTTACAACGGTTACTTGGCACAGGATGTATTGTAATCTTGACCCGAGTTCTGCATGCACTTTTACTAATGTTAGGGTTAGAAAGTGGGGCCACGAATGGCGTCAGATAGCAATGTCGTTGAGTCGCGTGACAAGTGAAGTCTGTGAACATTATCATTCCACGTACGACGTTAAACCACTTATTCGGCTCGCGGTGACCGTTATCCGGCGCACGCACACCGCTTGCATCAATGGCATATTTTTCCTCGGCGAAACTCCACGCACATTTGCCATTCAAGGTTAACCCGGTCAACGATGCTCTTTTGTTCACAAGAGCGTCGAAGACGAGACGAGAATTCCTGCATTTAGAAATCGAATATTAATTAAATGAAAGTAAGAAAGTGTCGAACACTGAGCGACAATACAATATTCTAAATATTTCCTCTTAAGTACACTAACACATGCTATAAGCAATAACTCGCCTTTATCTTCCCGAAGGTAAATCGTTATAAATGTTTAACATTCTAACTGTGCCGTAAGCGACTGAATACACATTTCACACGATTTTATTACGCGGAATAAATAGTCATGTTACATATATCGTCTACGTCGTAGCTATAAAGATCCGACAATATTTACATTTCCCGTATACAATAGATATTTATTTGTATTTTATGTATAGAAATGGCCCATTAAGTAAATTGAATCATTGACTTTGAGGCGTTGATATAAACATCAGCTGTCCAAGACGACGGCGTCCATCAAGATAACGGTATGCGTGTCTAAGCCCTATAAGCCTTAGCCCTTGAGCTAAATGGCTAAATCAAATCTGTATCGCTGAATAGAATGTGTCATTTAATTGAATAGAACCTAATAAAGCTTAATGGTTTTGTGTTTGAATAGCTCAGTAGCCGTATCAGTGTTCAAAGCTATACTATCATAAGAAATGGATTTCGTTTGGGAGACGTTTATTTCGCTATAGATCGTAAAATTATTTGACTTACATATTGAGTATACAATAATTGTTTGATAAATCCTAATCAGAGACTTGTTCGGAATTAGGCTAATGCAAGCTGTATGCTGGTAATGAGGAAAGTAAACCATATCCGCGTGTACCTCATATGTGAAGTAAACAATTCTTGGTCACAAGTTTAAACTGGTTACACGCCAAGCTAAGATTTAATAAGACCTCCCGTTTCGTTAATTAACTAGGCTCCATAACAAGAAAACATTTGAATGTTAGATTATATGTAAAGAGCTATGGAAATGTTCATAACTCATTACTGGTATTACAGTTATGAACTCTACGATGATATTTTATGTTTATATTGTTTACTTGATTTGCAAAGCTATGGAGTTTGTTGAAATTTATTGTTGGTTTAAACATATATTTTTGTGTTCAATTTTCCGTCTATAGATAGAAGTTATATTTTTTATAAAGCCGGTGAAGCCGAAATATTTTTTTTTAATATATGCCTCCAAGAAAAGAGCGAACCAATTCTTAAAAGGCCGGCAGCGCGCTAGCGAGCCTTCTGGCAGTGTGAGTGTCCATGGTCGGCGGTATTACATCAGATGAGCCTCCTGCCCGTTTGCTTCCTGTAACATAAAAAATAAAAAAAATACAAAACAACCGTCGATGGGGAAATCGGTTTGGATAGGAGTTGCCGTACATCTTCAGGTACTAGAGAAGATACCAGTTTAATGTACCCACGAACATGCATGGTGAATGTCATGAAAGTGGATGAAGCTAGTATGTCAGGACCGTAGCAAGTGGAGATCCGTGGTCTCTACCTACCCCTTCGGAAAAAAGGCAAAAAAATAAAAATGTAATTTAAAAAGTAGACTTCAGTTCAGCAATAAAGATAATAGCTGCTACAAATAGGTTATAGGTTTGAAGTACAGTGATTTGTTATTCGCGTGCCTGCACTAGCCAAATACGATCTGTCGTCATGCCATCCGTACATTTTAACGAGAGCGCGATTCTGCGCGCCGATATCGACAGCCTAATGAAAACCCTTGAATAATGCATTAATACCAGCGTTAAATCGTGAGCACCTACAATCGACATAACGACTTAAGAATACTAGATGCAAATTTAAGTCAACATTGGATGCCGATTCGCTTCCGGATTCAATTGAAGAAATATTTACATATTTAAACTGTGACAGCATTGGGTACAAAATTTATATTTATTGCTGGTATATGCCATGACATGATCATCTATCTCCGGAAGCGTCACAGAATCTTTTCTAACATTGTGACCAAATGTATGTACATATGTATGTATCGTGCTTTGTCTCACGCCGCGACCCATGCTCACCTTCCCTATTGAAATGTCAGTGCTCGGACTGGTGACGAGACAATCGTAAAATACAATGTTAAGGTCACATCATGACTTCAATAAACCATTCTTAACATGGGAAACGTGACAGTCGCGGAAGACCCTTCGCAAGAATCCCAGAAAGTGTGTCAACGTTGTAACATACCGGCAAACAGCACGTTACTTGATTCTATTGCTCAGGAACTATTAGGTACAGAATTTACCGCTGAATTCGCACTATATATTTGTCGGAATCGACTACATATTACGATTTTTACGACCACTGTTACATAATTCTGTGCAGACATCGTGTAAGGTCATTGGTAAGATGGAAATAGTACAAGAGCAGAGGGCAGGCCCGAGCAGCGTGATAACAAGCGGCTACAGCCATACTTACCATTCCCGCGTTCCAGATCCGGCGAAACTTAGTATTGGGGTCGCTATGTCGTCGTTCTCATCGAGCAAATGCTATCTGTTTTTCCGCAGTAAATTCTACTACCTTAAAGGCCATTTGATCTTTGCAGACCCCATTAGGACAACATGAAATTGCATTTCGAACGTGCTTATCCAACAGATATGTCCCTTGTTCAATTGCACTTGGGTACCTTTCACTGAAATTTATGGTATGCAACTTATTAAATTGCACGTTTGCACTGTGCACATAATTCAACATGTGACAATAAAATTGAAGATAGAAACAAAGGCAGCAGGTTGATATTCCAGAATAATTTATCACAGCAATTTGTGTGTCAACAGGACACGGGGCAAGTCATCGAGCGCCAACATAGCGGGGTTTTACTTTCTTATAGTGGCCTCAAGAAACTAGTTAAGAGAAAGTAGGGTTACTATCCAACACTATATCGTTATATAACTTTGATCAGATTACTCCATAAGGAGTTTATGGTTCACCGCTGAAAATGCCATGGGCATTAATTAAAGCGTTTTTATTCTTCTCAGACTGGAACAAATAAGCACCTAAGATATCCAATTAGAGTAACAATAGAATGCGTATCCACCCAAGAGCCGTGTATACGCCAAATAGGTATTTTCTCATAAATATTTATGACGAACACAAAGACGCTTTACGGACTTCCACATATAAACAAAATTATACTGGCTGTCAAACAAGGATTTTGAACAATGGCCGAAACGGTTTTCATTACAGAGTATAAAGGAATTTCTCTTAGCAACCGCCACACCGAATGTCACCAATGTTAGGTGACACAGATGCTGCCTTTGCGATTTCTTGTAATACTTGAGAGCAGACAAGGAATTGTGTCCAGTCATCCACAAAGTGGGTGCCTGAGGAAATGTCTGCTTTCATATCAGTCGGTCAATTTGTTTTTCACTGCGGTTTTCGGAGTGCGGTTGCAACAGGAAATTGTGGTGTAGAGACAGTCAAGTGTGGGTGAACGACTATTTTTGCTTGAGATTTTAAATTTACATAGTGAAATTGTTTTACAGATATCATGAAGTTAGCTGTTAGTAATGTACCTAATGTTATAACAGTGTTTATGTCACTACGTTGACATGATAGCGAAATAAAGTATACCACAACCCTTTGACATTTTGGTATAACGCGTGCCTTTGTTTAATTTCCAATTTAAAGCAAGGCGGTTTTTGCTTTCATAACTTTTATAATAATAATTTTAGATCTTTAGACACTAAATATTTTGTATTGTAGCTTCATTATTCTCCTAACAAAAACCATAGCATAAAATCAGCACGATAGATTTTCTACTTTTTCGGCCGTTTCGCAGCTCCGTAGTTAATTTGCTATAGTAGGTATCCTGAATCGGATTTCACGCTTTACGGTAATGAAATCTAGCTGTACTTGTTATTCTTATTACTTTTTCCTTTCAAATACTTAAAGCCCATAACAAAAACCAATAAAACACTACGAACGAGTAATTCAAAAGTTATTGATGTTAATTTCTTTACGCGGATGTCTTTAATTATTCGATTCTCTCGCTCGTAAAATATGAATGGAATCACGTACATGGCAATAGATCAAAAATTGTGTAATGCCGAGCGTAGGTCGACGCCCGACTGAAAAAAATTAATCGAATTACAACCAAATACTAAACAAATGAGTTTCTGAATAAACAGTTTTTATTGCGTTCATTCACCTTTGAATTTAGAATAAATAGCCTTCGTCCAATTCACCCACGTACTTGATGACACATTATACGTTGTAGGTTATACTTCCTTATAAAAACGTACTATAATTTGAGAATTTACAGATGAACATTACCCAATCCATACAATTTTAAATCCATGCTAATCTTCCGAGACATTAAGCACGACTGAATGCTTTTTATTCCGAAAAATTGTGTTAGTGTCGCCGCACAATTTTATCTACTCTTTGGCTAGCCTTAAGAATTAGACTCTAGTAATACATGTAAGAACTCAATTTCAGTCCGGTTCAAGGGAATCTGTCTCAAATTGTGGTATTATGTTACCAGTTAAAAGTATTTTAAACTTTCAGATATTTAATTACGTTGATGTTTATATAATCTACATCTTTTTATCTGTGCAGAACAGTCTTTTTATCTGCAATTATTGGAGACAGACAGCCCAGTTTCAAGCAGAGGTGGAAATGTAACATGGTTTATTACACTATTGTTAAACCGCGCATGAAAATATTTGATTTTCATAGCGCGCAAATCTGTAAATGCAAAGACACTAAGTTATTGCCAAGTTTTAGTCACAGTCAAGACTTGGATGTACGACGTTGATCCCCTCTCTGATAACGTTAAGCCGCGTGGGAGAGACAGTATTTCTAAGGTGTCGATAGATACTGAACACCAATAACGGATTACAGGTGCGAAGTAAGTTAGGAGCTAGTGTTTTATCGGTGTGAAACATCAAATTTCTATTAATAAATAGCTGGAGAGGAATAACTGAAGAAAAAATTTTAGCGAAATAAACTTTATTTCGATTCTCATTTTAAAACTTTGTTATTTTCATAGATAATTAAAATGTTTTCAAAATAATAGAGCCAGAAATCAGTAAAACTTTCAACTTTCGCTTAACCAAAAAACATAATTTAACCTCTCAAAATACCAAAAAACATTTAGGTCAAATATAAGACGGGAGAAATTAAGCAAAAACGTTAAAAACGACAAGGAAGAAACTTATGTACATAGCGTATAGATGAGTCAATATTTGTGTTCGTAGGTTATCGACCCTATATTGTTTCTTTGAAAGCTTCGAAAAACAAATACGCCTACCTTGTGCACACGAACACCTTACACTCTCGTACATTAAACGCCAATAAGATAGTACATTGAAATTACATCAGATTAACGAGATTAAACGCACGAATCATGTGTGAGCGCGTGTTTCGATTCCGCCGTTATCTAGTACGAATTTACAACCAAGATAAAACTACTAAAGCAACGCAGTTTATCTCTAAGGTCGTTGAGGAAGCCTGGTAATGGCTTCTTTATTCATTTCCTGTTCGTCGGTATTTTGCTAATTCGTAACATTGATGTATGAGTACAAGATGCAGTTATCCGTAAGGATTGCGAATATCAAATATCCCGTCGTGCGTGACTGTCACTTTTTATTATTTTTTAATTTAGCGGGAAAACGTTCGAAGATGTTTGTAAAAATGTTTAAAGCTTTTGTTAAAATTTATAAGTGTATTGATACAATGTTTTTTAACAGAGAGTTTATTGTCAGTTGTTCTCTTTCATTCTACACCCTTGATTTGAGAACTGGCAGGAAATGTAAAATTATTCATTTAATATATATTTCTTATCTGACAAGTCATAAGTGTACATTATGTTACTTATACGAATAAATGATTTTTGATTAATGGATTGATTAAACATATTATATTATTACCTTCTATTTATTCATTCATACCTAGCAGTTGTAGTGATATTCGTTTCATTAACGTTCCTGAGCGTTTTGTGTACACGAAGTCTTAAAAACACCTTGTTAAGATCACAAATCACAAAATAACTAAAAGCAGTTATTGTAATTTATCATACAATGTTTATTTAAGTTTACCGCGTATTTATTGAATAACTAAGCAAATAAGTTTTTTTACGCAAAAAATATCTTTCAAAGCAGCTGCAAAATTTATACGATGTGAATTGTATTACGGTTGTTTTATAACGAATTACGTTACGATTCAAACTGTTACTTATAAAGCTTAAACTTATTAAGCTTTCCGGCTGCATAGGCATAGGTCGTTGTTCTAACTTTATAATTAAAAAATACACGGAAACTGTTTTAATACAGTTAAATGCTAATGTATTATCACTATCGTGCCATTTTGCAAATAAACGTGCCAAAATGTTTGAGCAATTCAAGACTGTTAAGACATTTTTAATTAAATTTTTGACAAGTTTAATTTAAGATACATATTCCAAGTCCGAGATTATGCAAAATTGATATCTTAATAACTGTAGTGTACATAGATTGCGTTTCTTAATAAAAGTGACGTTTAACTTTGGCTGATATATTACACAAAAATCGAAGCGAAATAAAATAAAGTCTTAAATCTATATTATTCAATTCTCATTACATTATACTTACGTAAATAACAATATAGCAAATTCCAAACATTATCGCATTCCAGCAAATATCTGTTACATTTCAACAGGTTACATAATAGCGAATCGTGTTTATCTTTCATAACAATCATTGTAATGTCATAAACATGAACCGGCCCGTTGAACAGTTAACCTTTAGATATTGCTCTTCGAATTTGTATCCTTTAATATGGATACTATGAATCCTTCTTGTTATGAATAACTCACTACACCTTATTTGTGTTTTAGATCCCATATTAGCTACGTTTAATACTAACAGCGCTATAACCTTTTAGATCAGATTTCTGTATGTGTTACGTGATATTTTTTTTTTACTAGACAAATCAGCCTTCTGTGCCTGACACTGTGGACTTTTTGGATCTAAGGCAAGCCGGTTTCCTCACGATGTGTTCATTCACCGTACCAGCGAGTGTGAAATGCGCACATAGAAAGTATATTGGTGAAGCTGGTGATCGAACCTACGACCTCAGGGATGAGAGTTGCATGTTAAAACTATTGTTCTACATCTAATCATTAGAGATATATCGAAGAGTTAGCGGCTCATTTAAAAACGACAGAGATCTTTTCGCTTCGGATGTCCGGTGTTATGAACACATTTAAACCTTTAACAAATAGTATAATCGCTCTTAATAAGTTATATAATATTTATAAACACTTTCAGAAAAAAAAAATATTTTCATCAAAAGCTTGTCGTTACGAGAGTGTACTGTAATGCTCCTTTTTTATTTTATAATTAATTAATTACTATATTATTTGAAATCATCGGGAAATAAAAGTTATAGACGAAACTACTATATTTAAATAAATGTTTCCTTGTGTATGTGTAAATGATACTTTAATTAATAATAGTTTTCTTGCACAGGTTAAGCGCCAGTTCGAGTAGCAGTTGAAGTCTCAGGTCAGTAACCCCGCGCACCTTACTCGTCCATCGGAATTCGTGAATCTTCACAAATAATATGTCATTATATCGTATTAGCCGTTGAG